TCACTTATTATCGCTGTACAATTGCGCCTACCGGACCTGTGACGATTTGTGGGGAACCCCCTCCCCTTATCCTCACACTGGGGTTTTCTGGGCTGCCATCTTTACAGAAGCACGTGGCCAGGCCTTTCTTCCGCAATGCCGAGGGGTGAGGACGAACCTTTAGGTGTTCCCCCCACCCCACCCCATTCCAACCCCAAACCCACCACCATCAAGCTGATTCCAACTCACAGGGAACCCGGACAGAGCTTCCGCGGCTGTAAATCTTCCTGCGAGCAGACAGCCTCATCTTTCTCTTGCAGAGTCGCCGGTGGGTTTGAACCACGGATGGTATAGTTAGCAGTCCAGGGTTTACCCAGGGTCTTATGGAACGTAGCAGAGAGAACTCCATTTCTCAATAGCACCTGGTCCTTGGTGCACTCGAATGACGGTGCTGGGGAAGACTGCGCAACGCACACACACACCCAACTGGGAAGAAAAGCGCCGGGCGCTCCTGAGAAGTGAGGGGGGTGAGATTTCCCGTCACGCACGTTGGACACATCGTCTGCAGAGACCAGTCCCTGGAGAAGGACGTCATGCTTGGGAAAGCAGAGGGGCAGCGGGGACGAGGAAGGCCCTGGACCAGATGGACGGACCCAGTGGCTGCAACCATGGGCTCTGACGTCACCTCGATGGAGGGCGTGGGGCAGGGCCGTCTTTCCTTCTGTCTCACGCACGCGGGGTCGCTGCGAGTTGGACCTGACCCGACTGCCCCTAAAATCTCATCCTCGGATGGAGAGCGAGGATTCTAACTACATTTCCTTTTTAGATGGGCTGGGGGTGGGGTGGGGGAGGAGTGGGATGGGGGCCACGGTTCAACCCATAATACTGATCATGGGTGGATCTGGAAAGAGAGCTTCGACATTCTGGCTGTGAGTGGAAGCTCTTGAGAACCACTGCTGCCCACGCTGATGTCCACCCTCCCACCCCCACCCCCTGCCGTGGTACCCTCCGTGGTACAAATGGCTTTGACTGTGATGCTTTGCTCAAGATGGGCAGTACAGACTCACCCAGCAGAGCCTAGGAAGAAAGGTCTGACAACCTGCTCTGTAAAGAGGTCCCTACAGCCCACTGCTGCGCAGTCGACTCCTGTTCATAGCGACCTTACAGGACAGAGCTGCCCCACAGGGTTTGCAGGGCTGTGATCTATATGGAAGCCGGCTGGTGCATCCTTCTCCCGAGGAGCTGCTGGTGGGTTTGAACTGCTCACCTGGGGGTGAGCGGCCCCGTGCTTCAGGCCAGGGTTCGCCCTGCAAAGGCGCAAGCCAAGAGCATCCTGGGAAGCAGTTCTCTAGCACCTGGGCTCTTGTGAGTCAGCACGGACTCCTTGGCAACAGGCCTGCGTTGTTGTGTTTGAAACTTTCTGGTGAATTGGGTGAAGGTTTGCAGAGCCCGCGATCACGTTTCCATTCCACACATATCTTGTTTCAGCTCCTCTGTTGCCACTTCCTCTCTGTGTGTCCTGTTTCTAATCCTCTTTCTCTCCTAACCTTCTCAACCTTGGCCTTGGCTAAGCATTGCCCTTTGTTTCTTCAGAGAATGATGCGTCTCCTACAGCAGTAAGTTCAGTTCCAGACCTCGAGGTTGATGAAAGGCCCCAGTTCTGTTAGGCCGCCAGAATGGAGACTAAAGGGGGTGGTCTCCCCGATGCCTACCGAGGGCCACAGCAAAGGGGTTGGAAAGAAATCAGGCACATTCATTAGACACCTATGGAAAGATCCAAACTGCGCATGCTCAGACACAAGCCCCCCCACTGGGCTCAGGTGGGAGGTCCACCTGGGTGCACAGACTAGGCCCAGTCACATGACATCACCCAGGTGTACTTAAACTCAAGTCAATGAGGTGGACCAATACCGTCAACCACACCTCCCTAGCTGGAGGAGATGAGAGCCTGCCACAGGAATGCCACGCCTCTTTGACTCCTCTCCGTTCAGGTGTGGTCTTGCAGGTCGGAGGGTGGGGTGCACACACGCCCCAGCTCCCTCTCGAGCCTCTCTTCCAGGGTGCTCTTTGGGGCTTTCCTGTGAATATCTGAAACACCCCTTTTCCCCATAAAAGTCACTTGGGTTCACCAAAGTGCTTCTGTGTCGTGAATTCCTTCAGCGTCGTGAACCAAGAACCGAGGTATAAACCACACCAGAGACCTAACAGTTTTAGGGTGAGGTCCCCACCAGTCCCTATCTGACCAGGAAGTCTTGTCTCTCTCTTTGGAAAAAAATCATTTTATTGGTGGCTCTTATCACAATCCATACACCCATCCATTGTATCAAGCAAATTTGTACATACGTTGCCATCATCATTTTCAAAACATTTTCTTTCTACTTGAGCCCTTGATATCAGCTCATTTTCCCCCACCCCAACCCTACTTCCCTCATGAACCCTTTATAATCTATATATTTTTTTTTCATGTCTAACCCTGACCGCTGTCTCCCTTCACCCATGTTTCTGTTGTCCGTCCCCCTGGCAGGGGGTTATATGTAGATCTTTGAAATCGGTTCCCCCGATCTGGTCTCTGATGATTTTGAGTTCTGTTCCATATTTTTCTCCCACTCTATCCAGGACCTCCTAACGCAGCACCTCTCAACCTGTGGGTCGAGACCACTTTGGGGGTCGAACGACCCTTTCACAGAGGTCACCTAAGACCATAGGAAACACATATTTCCCATGGTCTCAGTAATGGAGACACCGCTCCTCTGTCCGTTTCCAGGCGGGTCTGCCCACATGCAGATACGCCCACCTAGAGTCCCCAGCGTGAAGACTGTTACCCATGCTGCACCATGCTTCAAGACACAATGTCATTGATCTGTCATTAGAAATTATGTTTTGAGAATGATGAGGGGAATGAATATACAAATGTGCTTTACACAATTGATGGATATATGGATTGTGATAAGAGTAGTCTGAGCCCCTACTAAAACGATAAAAAAGGAAATCAGTGTTTCACAATGTATAATGACATATTGTTTTTGTGATTCATCACTATGCTTTAATTATATGCAATTTGAAACAATGACAATACATCCTGCCTATCAGGGATTTACATGACCATTCATCACAGTAACAAAACGACAGTGATGAAGTAGCAATGTAGATAATGTGATGGTTGGGGGGTCACCACCACATGAGGAACTGTATGAAAGGGTCGCGGCATGAGGAAGGTTGAGCACCACTGTGCTAATGTGATCCTTCTCAGAGCAGCTGGTAACAGTAGCTGGGCACCATCTGGTCCTGGTCTCAGGGTCGGGAGACCGACGTTCACGCGGTCTGTTAGTCCACAGCACTAGTCGGCTCTGGATATATCTCCATTGTCACGATGCTTCTTCCCCCCGCGCATGGCAAGACTAAGAGTTGCACCTCAGGTGGCTGTTTGCAAGCTTTTAAGACCCCAGCCATTGCTCATCAAAGTAGAATATAGAGCAGAGGTTCTCCACCTTCCTCATGCCGCGACCCTTTCATCCAGTTCCTCATGTGTGGTGACCACCCAACCATAATATGATTTTCATTGCTACTTCATCACTGTCATTTTCCTACTGTGATGAAATCGGGTGACTCCTGTGAAAATGTCGTTCGACTCCCAAAGGGGGTCACGGCCCACAGGTTGAGAATCGCTGCTATAGTCTGTCCCATTCTAAATAGGGCTCACTCTCTTCTGATAAGGATAATGGATTGTTCCCCTGAAGCAGAGCCCAAAGACTCCTAAAATCAAGCCAACTTGGGGGCAACCAAGGTTGGGCTGCCACCTTGTCTCTAGAACCCGCCCATCTTGTTATGTGTGTGCCTTCCTGTCACACGTATGCCTATTGTACAACCTCTTCCGGTGAGGCATGTGGTTACCTGTAATTAGGGCGACTGGCATACTCCCTGAGTGTACATAAGCCCTGGTTGGAAATACACCTATTCCCTTTCTCTGCGTGGATCTGGCTCCTGAGGTCATGGTGGTCCCGGAGGTGAGCACTTGCATGCTTTATCTTGTCTGATGTCTCTTTAAGTTTACCCCTCAGTGAACAACCACCTCTTGGGCCCGTTCAATCGTGGGGGCTGGTACCCCACACAGAATGAACTTCAATGTTACAAGCGTGGCCAGTGTGTGCCCAGGAGAATTTTTCTAGGTTCTCACATGGGCATTGCTGGAAACAGTAACTAAACCCTAGCCAACCTATAGGACGGGGTAGAACTGCCCCCCTGAGAGTTTCCAAGACCGTAGCATGTTCCAGGAGTAGAGAGTGCTCTTTCTCAACTAGAAGGGCTGGTCGTTTTGAACTGCTGACCTTGTGGTTCACAGCTCAGCATGTAACCACGTGGCCGCCAGGACTCCAGTGTAAATGATCAGCACTAGGGCCTTATCCATGTGTGGCATCTCTCAAACCCTCGTTCCAACGTTGAAGAAGACTTCCAAACTAGATGGACTTCAAAGCTTGCTTCTGAGTATAATGATGTTCTCAGTCAAAGACTGCGGCAGCTTCTTTTCTGGGGGGGATAAAATGTGGTTAGATGCTTGCTTCACGAAATCATCACTCCCACAGGAAAGGCCAGGGAGCTCTCCCGTGGAGCCTGGAACCAGAGAGAAGGAGAGGGAGGGAGAGAGAGAAAGAGGCTGTAAATCTTTAAGAGTGCTGACAGCCTCATTCTCCCTCGGAGCAGCTGGTGGATTCGAACTGCTGGCCCTGAGGTTGGCAGCCCAACATGAAACTCACTCCTGGAGGGAGGCGGAGGGCGGAGAAACCCTCAAAGCAAACACACCAGAGTCTGACTTCCAGAAAGCTGGCCACAGAAGCTGTGGCTGCGGACCAGGCGTCAGCTCTCCACCCTCGGAGACGAGTGAATCATGGGAACAGTACGGGACAAACACACCCAGCTTGGAAAAGGCCACTCCGGGGCTGGCTGCCTGGGAAGGCTTGTCTGCCATCCCCTGTGGTGGCCGTATCTTGCCTCGCGTCTGATACCAGCTAGTCGGAAAACAGGCCCCCTTTCAGGAATCCCTCCTCTGCTGGACGTGAGGGAGAGACCCCAGACCTCTGGGGAACCTGGCTGTGGACCCCAGCGAGGTCCAGATTGGAGCGTTGGCCACAAGAGCAGGTAAGCATGAGGGGAAAGAGAGAGAGAGAGAGAGAGAAAGTGGGATTGCAGCTGCCACCACCCACAGAGTCCCCCTGCCAGTCTTTGAACTTGACAGGCATGGAGTCATCTCCTACCTTCTCCGTTCCCTCTGGCTCCCTGCCCTCAACCTTATATTCACCAAACCCATGGACCGTTCCTCTCAGAATTGGGTCCACAGAGCCAGCAGTTGAGAGCTGGGATCTTATAACGGCTGGGCCAGCATCCATGCCAGCTTCCACACTCTTGAGGCGGACTTGGGGAGACGAGCACAAGACCCTCTTGTTCCAGGACCCCGAACGTTTTCTGCGGCACAGATGCGGAGAGGACCCTGCTGCCTCAAAGCTGGATGGCCGGGCCGGGGATTTCCACCGTTTCTGGCAAACCCACAGGAGCGTTTCACACACTGAGTGAAGTGTAACGCAGGTGAGTCCACTTCTGAAGGGAAGGTATTTCCTGGAGTGAGTTTAAGTTGATGGGCTTGGTTGATCTCACCCGAGTCATCAGGGTCGGGGGCCATAGGGTTGTGTGCAAAACAAACAATAGCAGCAACAACGCGCGGGCGCGTGTGCACACACACACACACACACACACACAACACTGGTTGTTCACTCTGTGACCCTTTTGTGTCTGAGTGGAACTGTGATCCACGGGGATTTCAGTGGCTTGGGGAGAAGTTTCTCTTCTGAGGGGATTCTGGGGGGACTTGAACCTCCATTCTTTTATTTTATTTTATTTTTATTTTGTTGTGGAGTTTGTTCCATGAGATCAGACTTTTTAAAAAAATTATTTTATTGAGGGCGAACCTCCATTCTTACAGTTAGTGGGTGAATTAATGGGTTAATGGCACCACTAGGTATCCCAAACCAGTTGGTGTTGAGTTGATTCCAACCCATGACCACCCCGAGTGTGTCGGAGTTGTGGAGCGGTGGGCAATGGAGTTTCTCGGAGCTGATTTTTCAGTAGTGGATCACCAGGCTTTTCTTCCGAGGCACCCCTGGAAGGTGGACCAGAACTGCCAACCTTTGAGTGAGCACTGAGCCTACGGACAGCTTGTTTGGGACATGTCTTTGTTAGCCTTTGGAGGGCCATGGGGGTTCGCTGTGATGGCCTCTCTTTCTCTCCTGACACTAGGATTTGTGTCGTCTCTCTGTGGGTCTTGTCGTGGTTAGCGTGGCTAGAGTTTTTCATCAAGCTTTGGGATCTTTGCAAAGAAGTGTGTGTGGTGCGATGGATTCTGTAATCTGGCTCCTCTAGCTGTAAGTCCTCTATTTTGTGATATGTCCTAAATCATAGCCTTCGGGCCCGTGTTAAAGGAGCCCTGCTGGTGTCCTGGTTTATGCACTGAGCTGCTGCGAACTACTAGGTCAGCAGTTTGAAACCACGGACCACCCTGTAGAGACTTACAGTGTCTGGAGCTCCAAGGGGCCAGTTATACTCCATCCTACAGGGTCTCTGTAAGTTGGAACGGGCACCAGGGCAGTGAGATGCCTTTGGTCATGGCCACATGTCGGAGTGAGTTGTCCCTTCCATTAAAGAGGCAGGATGGCTCCTTACTGCTCACTCCCTGGTCACTCCCCTCTCTCCCCTCTCCTCTCCCGTTCTCTCTCCCTTGTTCCCTTGCCCTCCTTCCCGTCCCCCTCTCTCCACATGGACCACCAAGCTGGGCTGAGTCCATGTTACTTTCAATATTCTTCACCAGTGAAGAAAGCTGATGGTGCCCCACTACCAAAAGATATAACATCTGGGGTCTTAAAGGCTTGAAGATAAACAAGCAGCCATCTAGTCAGGAAGCTACAAAGCCCACATGGAAGAAGCACACCAGTCACTGTGATCACAAGGCCGGGTCCGAACTAGGCAGCCCTGTTTGGACTAAGCTGAAGCAGGTCCAGGCCCTGCACATCCCAAAGGTCAGCAACAGACAGCGGCCAGATGAGATAACCGCCAGATAGGATAACCAGTGAAACCAGATGTTCCAGAGGGGAGGCTCGGTTCAAAGAAAGCTGCAAGGAGTCCACAAGCAATTCTCGGAGTGTCCAGACCCCATATGCTAATTGCCATACATTCCTCACCACCCCTTTACAAACCCTCGCCCCCAGCTGCTGAGCACGACTTCCCTGACCTGTTGACCTAGGTCACAGAACCTCATCCGGGAGTCCCCCCCCCCACTAATAAAGCTATTTCTGTTTCTGCTAAAAAAAATAAAATAAAATAAAAAAATACAGAGGCAGGATGATAGATCGCAGGGAAGCAACAGAGCCCACATGGAAGAAGCACAGCAGCCTGTGTGGTCATGAGGAGTCAACGTATAACTCCCCCACCCACCAACACAGATACACACACACACACAGGGGGACGAACCACAGAAACATGGGTGAAGGGAGACAGCAGGCGGTGTAAGATATGACTTATAGGAGACACAATGGCGGTTTCGCCGTGAGGACCTGTCGGGATGAAAATAGACGAATCTGGAAGCAGATGTTTCTAACAGTTTCTCTCGCCACAACTTTTGCCGTGCCGTCTGATCCGCGCATCTTGGTCCATCACGGCAGTAGCAGCCATCACCCGGGCACTGACAAACAGAACTGTCCTGAAACATGTCTTATCAATTCGACATGGAGTTTTACACCGTGTTTGTCCTAAATCTACACCACCTCTCCCAGATGACTATAACTGCAAGGGAGACCTTGCTTGGGCATCAGATGGTAGGACAATAGGCTACCGCCCTTCTGTGGACATGCCAGAGGAACACACAACACCTGTTCCTCGGCCAGACCCTCTACGTAACAGTGAGGAAACACAGGATCGGGTGCTGAAAACTAGAGTAGCAGTGAAAGAGCAGCCCCTTGAGCAAGGACCTGGTTCTTTACTATGAAGCACCGTTGGTGTTATGGGCAGTATCACAGACGTCGTATGAAACTGCATCCTCCACAAGACAGATGATTCCGAGGTTCTCATCAGGAATCAGAGAGGAATGTTCTCATTGGCCTCATTTGCCACTTGAGAAAAATATCCGATGTAGTCCCTACTATGTTACAAATAAAATAATTTTTTAAAAAAGAGATGACTTATAAAAAAAACGGATAAGGAGGCAGGATTAGAGGGAGGCGTGTCTTGAGTCCCAGCCTGACGCGAGCATGTGACTCGAGTCACCGCCCTTCGTTTCCCGGGAGCTGTGTCTGTGTCCGACACACGACACACGGGACGCTCTGGCCAAGCTCACATGCTGGCTCTGGCTCCTGCCTCTGACTTGTCTGCATCGGAGCTCCGGTCCTTGGCACTTGCACCAGCCGCCTGGCGTCTGACCTGTTGGATTGGGTCCTTCAGCCTGTGCAGCCACATGAGTGAGGAGAGGACTGCCGGTAGGTGCCTGACCCGCCCCCCCACCTGCCCGCCCAGCCAGAGTTGGCCCTTGAGAGCCTCCCACAACCTCATGAGCCCTTTCCTTGACAGAATGAGAGTCCCATGAGACACTGTAGTGAATTACAGACCCCCCCCTAAACTGGAAGAAGTGTACCGAGGGCAGGGGGGGGCAGTTGAGAGTAGGAATGAGGGCAGTATAGCAGTTTGGGGGAAATTGGACATTTGGGACGTCTTAAACCTCCACCTCACGGGAACCAGCCTTATCTTTAACCTTTGAAAAGGGATTGCTCGTGCATGTGATAAACTGTATTCTGCTGTACCCTATACACACAGAAACATGTGCACATCAGTTTTCTGAGTCTTCACCAGCGGAACACACGCGCACACACACGCACAGGCACAGGTAGCCAGCACCTGAGTCAAGAAACACAACAGGGGGGAGGGGGAGGGAGGGGGAAAAATGAGGAGCTGGTACCAAGAGCTCAAGTCGAAAGCAAATGTTTTGAGAATGAGGAGGGCAACAAATGTACAAATGTGCTTGACACAATGGATGGATTGTGTGGATTGTGATAAGAGTTGTACAATAAAATGATTTAATTATTTTAAAAAAAAAAGAGGAAGAAGAAAAAACAAACAAAACAAAACCAGTCCCTAGAGCAGTGGTTCTCAACCAGTGGGTCCTGACTCTTTTGGGGAGTCGAACGACCCTTTCACAGGGGTCACCCGATTCATCACAGTAGCAAAATGACAGTGATGAAGCAGCCACGAAAATAATTTGATGGTTGGGGGGCCCCCACCACAGGAGGAACTGTATGAAAGGGTCGAGGCATGAGGAAGGTTGAGAACCACTGGCCTAGAGCCTCCTTTCCACCCGAGTCACCACCCCCACCCCCACCCCCAAGGGAGCCAGCATTCTGACTCCTAACACAGAGCCCCCTCGCCTGCTTTCTAACTCGACATGAGTGGAATCTTTCTGGACACTGCCCTTTGTGGCTCAGTCCCACCCGTTAGCATCGGATGGGTGGAAACCCGCCCACCTTTTCACGTCTGGCTGTGGTCGTGTGGAACACTCGGCTTCGTGAGTAGTCAATAGCGTTCATCCAGGGTCCCTTGGCAGGCAGCAAAAAAAAGGCTTTCTCTGGGCGATAAGGTTCAAGGTTTGAACTTGCCCAGAGAGGCCTGGCCATCCACTTTCCTAAAGGCCACAGCCAGGAACGCTCTGTGGCAGCCTGCCAGTGGGCAGGCTGATCAGGTGAGCAGTAACACCAGAGGGGGCACAGGCAGCCCTAGGAGACCAAGTAGCCGGGCAGCCTTTGGCTGGGGGAGGAAAGCTCAGACCGCAGGAAGGGATTGCGAAGGACACACAGAAGCAGGAAACACAGGAAATAGCCAGGGCACTCCTACCACCTGGGGGCCCACGGAACCAGCTTTGCCAAGCAAAATGGGTGTATGCCTTGCCAGATGGGAAAACCAATTCGCTTTGTAAACTTTCCATCGCCACGAACGTTAGTGTGTAAAAACAGACAAAGTAAGAGTGGGGGTCGCTCTACTCTATAGCATTGCTTACTGAAGTTATTACTCACTGGAGGCTTGCCGGGGTCACAGCCCAAACCCACCGGCTGCTCCACAGGAGAAAGGTGACGCTTTCTACGGCCCCCAAAAGATTGACAGCCTCAGAAATGCCCAAAGGCTGTTACTCTGTCTTTGAGGGTCACTGGGAGTTGGAACCAACTTGGAGGCCAGTGACCTTGTTTTCATCTGTTCTCCGGGGATGAAAAAGGAACCCTGGTGGCCTAGTGGTTACACGTTGGCCTGCTCACTGCAAGATTGGCGGTTCGAAACTATCAGCCGCTCCTCTGAAGAACAATGAGGCTATCCCCATAAAGAATTATGGTGAGTTTCTGAGAGTGCAACTCTTTGTATTTATTTCTTAAAATCACTGTATTGGGGGCTCATACAGCTCTTATCACAATCCATCCATCCATTCATTGTGTCAAGCACCTCTGTACATTTGTTGCCATCATCATTCTCAAACATTTTCTTTCTACTTGAGCCCTTGGGATCAGCTCCTCATATTTCCCCTCCCTCCCTCAGGAACCCTTGATACTTTATAAATCATTATTTTTCATGTCTTACACTGACCGACGCCTCCCTCTTAATGGGAGTAGAAAGCCCAAGCATTCTCCTGTGGGACGGCTGGTGGTTTCGAACTGCAGACCTTTGGGCTCGCAGCCATAACTGTGAGTAGGTGATGTCCACCATGAGAAGGGCACTGTGCTAAGCACCTCACTCCTATGAACTCAATGCTCTCCCACAACACTCTGTTTTTTAAAAGTCATTGTATCGGGGGCTCTTCCAGCGCTGATCACAAGCCACACATCCATGCGTTGCCTAACACTCTCTCAACCAAACCCAGACCCAAAGCCAGTGCTTTCCAGTCAGTGCACCGAGTCAGTTCTGAGTCACCGGGGCCCATTGACAGCAGGTGGCTCCTGCTCCGCGGAGCCCTGGTGGGGTCATGGTTACATGTTGGGCTCTGATCTGCCTGGTCGGCACTTGGACTCCACCAGCCGTTCGCGCCTTGGGGGAAAAGCCTGAGCTATCTGCTCCCAGCGACGGATATATCGTCTCGAAGCCCACAGGAGCTCACTAGGAGTCAGCACAGCCTTGTCGGTCATGAGGTTGTTTTGCTTGTTTGTTTCGATGGCTCCTGCTCCAGAGGGCGTCTTTCTGGCCTGTCATATCCGTCCGTCCATTCATTGATTTACATCATCTTGACGGAAGCGGATTTGCCAGGCCTTTCTTTCTAGGAGCCTCGTGGGGAGTTTGAACTGCCAACCCTTAGGATGGCGATTGAGTGCAAGCCACTTGCTCCACCCAGACTCCCTCTGACATGCTCTTCCCCACAAAAACCACTGCTGTCGGTGGACCCTATAGGGTAGACGTGAACTGCTTCCTGGGGTCCCCAAGGCTGTGAACCTTTTACGGGACCAGGCAGCCTCACTTTTCCCCCCAGGGGGGGCTGGGGGATTCTAACTGTCAACTCCGAGTTTCCCAGCCCGGTGAGGAACCCACGGCGCCACCAGAGCTCTCATGACATCCTCTTAGGTGGCTGGACGACGGCTCCCGTCACACAGATCAAGAAAGGGGGGCACAGGGACTTTACGTGACTTTGCCAGAGGCCACCCAGTAGGGGAGGATTTGGCTTTAAAGCCCGCCCACATTTCACTCCAGTGACGTGACGAGAAAGGGCTTGAGGCAGTGCCCAGACGCAGACACCGAGTCGCTTGGCCTCTTGGCCACTACCTGGAAGGGCACAGCGGGTGGGGGTGGCAGTGGCGGGAGCGTCCCAACAACTTCCTCTCCACCCTTCCTGTTGTTGAGTCAGTCCCAGCAGGGACTGGATTGGGGCAGTGCCAGCCAACCCATAATAGTCCGCCTGGGGTGGCAGGGCTGGCCACTCTGATAAGGGGTGGGGAGGGGTGGGGACAGCTTCCCTGGAGCCTGTCCTATCCAGAGCGCCCATGCTCCTGACCTTTTGCTTTGTGCTACCTCTTCATGCCTCTAGGCCTGCCCAGACCAGCGAGAGAGGGTCCCCAGGCTGACTCTTCCACCCCACAGAGTCCGCAGGAACCTGGGTCCAGTGGCCACTGCTGCCCAGACTTCTGCTCTCCAGAGCCCAGGGTGTGTGGACAAGACTATCCCTGGGACCAGCTCTCTGGAGTAGCACAGGCCCCCGCTGTGTTATTTAGCTCCAGGGATCCCAGGTAAGTTCCCTAACTCCTCTGTGCCTCAGTTTCCTCATCTGCAGAATGGGCAAAACAGTGTATCAAAATGTTTTTCCAGACTTGTCGGGCATACTGGCCCCTTTTCAAGGAGCCCAGGGGTGGCGTGGGTTAACAATGAGTTGGGCTGCTAATTGCAAGGTTGCTTGTTCAAACCCACCAGCCGCTCTGTGGGAGAGAGATGAGGCTTTCTCCTCCAGTACAGAGTTACAGCCTCAATTCTACAACTCTCTAGGGATGGAATGATTGAATGCTGTGATCTGGGAATTAGGCGCTGTGCTAGTCTGGGTAGACAAGAGAAACAAATTCTCAGAGAGACACTCATATGTATAAGAAAGCTTTATATACGAGAGCAATTGAATATTGAGAAAATATCCCAGCCCAGTCCAGATCAAGTCCACAAATCTGATATGAGCCCCTAGGTCGGATACCAATCTATCAAGTCTTCTTCAGACTCATGCAACACACATGCAATGATGCCGAATCCAGGAAGATCACAGGCCCGTGGGTGGAAAAGTCTTGTGGATCCAGTGGCATTGTAAGCATCTCAGCGCTGGCAGGGGTCTCCACGTGGCTTCTCCAGCTCGGGTCACTAGCATGGCTCCATGTGTCTTGTCAGCCGCAATGTCTCCCAGGGGGTCCTCAGAAAGAGAGAGAGCGGGTGTCCTGCCTTCACGGAGGAAGACAGGAGTTCCCGGAATCCTCAGCAGAAGGCCATGCCCACAGAGCCCTCATTGGCTATGACCTGATTGACAGGCTAGCCTCCACCCCTTCACGCATCAGCCTCTCAAATTGACAAACGATTATATCACTACCACAGCCCCTCATCGGCTCGATGACAGGTAGTTTGTTCCCCCTTTCAGAAAGAGAGAAAGAAAGAGAGGAAGAGAGAGAGGGAGAAATTACTTAGTGTCCTCCTGGCCCACCCCATTTCTCTCCTGCTCAGGTGCCCGGCATTCGGATGGAGAACTTGACCCTGAACTACGACTATGACAACTACAGCGAGGTCCCGGGGTTCCCCGTGGACTGCCCAGATGGCTCTTGCCTGCACACCAACGCCTTCCATGTGGTGCCGCCGCTGCTGTACACGCTCATCTTCCTTGTGGGCGTGCCGGGCAATGCCATGGTGGCCTGGGTGGCCGGGAAGGAGGCCCGGCAGCGCGCCGGCGCCACCTGGTTCCTGCACCTGGCCGCGGCTGACCTGCTCTGCTGCTTCTTTCTTCCTACCCTGGCAGTGCCCGTTGTCTGGGAAGGCCACTGGCCTTACGGGGCCGTCGGCTGCCGGCTCCTGCCCTGCGTCATGTTACTGTCCATGTTCGCCAGCGTCCTGCTCCTGGCTGCCCTCAGCGCGGACCTGTGCCTGCTGGCCCTCAGGCCTGCCTGGGGGGGCGCTGGCTGGCGGGCACGGGGCGTGAGGGCTGCTTGTGTGGCCGCCTGGGGCCTGGCTGGGCTGCTGACCCTGCCCTCTGCCTTCTACCGCCGGCTGTACCAGGAGCACTTCCCACCCCGGCTGGAGTGCGTGGTCGACTACGGGGGCTCGGCCACGGCTGAAGGTGCGGTGGCCGCCGTCCGGTTCCTTGCGGGCTTCCTGGGGCCTCTGCTGGCTGTGGTCAGCTGCCACGGCACCCTCCTGTGCCGCGTAGCCCGCTGGCCACTGGGCACGGCTGTCGTGGTGGGCTTTTTCATCTGCTGGACCCCCTACCACGTGCTGGGGCTCGTCCTCGCTGCTGCTGCCCCCAATTCCGTGCTCCTGGCCAGGGCCCTGCGGGCCGAGCCACTGGTCACGGGCCTTGCCCTGGCTCACAGCTGCCTCAACCCCGTGCTCTTCCTGTACTTTGGGCGGGCACAGCTCCGCTGGTCCCTGCCAGCCGCCTGTCGCTGGGCCCTGCGGGAGCCCCAGGGCCAGGACCAGAGTGCGGTCAGCAAGAAATCCACCAGCCATGACCTGATCTCAGAGATGGAAGTGTAGGCGGGTTCCCATCATGCCATTCCACTTCACAAACCTGGCTTTGGGGAGCGCTGGAGCCAGGGGCTGAACTCACTGCCATCGACCCCAGGCGGACTTAGAGCAGCCCTCTAGACAGGGCCGAACTGCCCCTGCAGGTTCCTGAGATGGTAAACTCTTGACGGGAGTAGAAAGCCCCTGTCTTTCTCCAGCGGAGCGACTGCTGGTTTCGAACTGTTGACCTCACCGTTGACCGCCCAACTTGTAACCACTACGCCACTGAAGGGCTCAACAGCATCTCCCTGTACGCCTTCCTCTGCTCAGCTGTCATCCACTGGGCACCAGCGACGTGCCAGGCTCTGGGGACACAGGAGAGAGACACCATCCCTACCCTCATGGAGCTAGAGGGCAACCGGAAGTAGATAAAGACAGGCGTGCAAAACATGTGAGGCCCCCGGCGTGGGCTCTGCCACCTCAAGCCGTGGGCGGGTGGGTTGGGGCAGGGATAGGGGTCAGCCAAGCAAGGTGCCTTGGGGGAAAATATTTGAGCCCAGATCTGACGCAGAGAAGGGAAGAGAAAATCCATACTGGAAATCCGGGGAGAGGCCCCAGTCGGTGGAAGAATAGGGACAAAGATCCTGAGGCACCAAGCACTAGCCATCGCACAGCGAAGAGCCCAGTGGGGAGGGAGTCGAAGGAGGAAAGGGAAGAGCGGTAAGCGGGAAGGGTAGAGCCATAGGGAGAGACAAGGGATCCATAGCCTTCTCGGCCCCAGGGAACCCTGGGAGCGTTCTGAGCCAGGGTTGCTGGGCCCATTGTTGCAGCCACTGTGTTTGAAGGGCTTCCTCCTGTTGGCTGCCCCTCTGCCAAGCACGGGGTCCTTCTCCAGAGGTTGGTCTCGCCTGAGAACATGTCCAAAGTATGTGCCTCGCCATCCTGGCCTCTAAGGAGCCTGCTGGCTGTACGTCCTCCGTGACAGGTCTGTGGTTCTTTTGGTGATCCGCGGCGCTCTCAATCAGTCTTCATAAGCACCATCGTTCACGTGCATCGGATCTTCTTGGGTCTTCCTGATTCCATGTCCGATTTCCACATGCGTGTGAGGTGAATGGAAACATCATGGCGGGAGGGGAGAGAGAAAGAGGAGCTGAACCCCAGGGCTCGAGTAGAGAGAAAATGTTTGGGAAATGATGATGGCAAATGCTCGACACAATGGATGTATGGAATGTTTTAAGAGCTGCCCCAATAAAGTTATTTTAGAAAATGGCATTGGCCCTGTGGGTTTTTTGAGACTATACATTTTTACAGGGACGGGGGTGGGTGGGGGCAGACAGCCTCATCTTTCCTTATCTTTCTGCAGAGGAGCGACTGGTGGTTTCAAACTGCTGGCCTTGTGGTTAGCAGCCCAACGAGGAACCCACGACATCACGGGCGCTTCACTTTGGAAATCACAGGGAACAGAACAAAGTCCCTGCCCTGCTGGAGCTCACGCTGTGGGTGAGACAGGTAGATAAATAAAGATACGTAATATATCAAGCGGTACTGTGGAACATACCCTTTGGACCAAAACAAAGCCCCCGCAAAATCGATGCTATTTTAACATGGTCAGATAAAATAGCTCAGATGAATGACATTCATAGGGTTGATGTCACCCAGTTCAGGAACTCATGGTGTCCCCTATACCTCCTCTCCCCACACACAGTGGACCTTCTCTGGTCCCAGGTTCTACAGAACACGTAATAGAGCTTACTGCCCACTTTCATCATAGACTGATATGTGGTGGATAGACCCAGATATTGCTTAAGTGCAATATTTCTTAGATTACAGAAACACTAGCAATGAAATTGTTTTATAAGCTCTATCAATATAGAATGACAAGGTGATAAGTTACAACATTATTGGTGGCCAAGTGGAAGCCTTTTATTTTGTTGTTGTTGTTGCTTTTTTTCTCCATCTTTTCCTTTCCTGACGACGTCTTCATTCTCAAGAAAGCTCCTGATACAGGCTCACAAAGATTACCTGTCACAGTATGGTGCCTACACCCATGCAAAGTTGGGCCGGGTTTTCTCCAAGAACACTGATGTCCCCTAAAACAGCAACGGTGCATGCTTGTGGCACACGCGGGTGAAACCACATGGCTTCCATTGAGTAATAACAACAGCCCTGACCTGAGCTCAGTAGAACGTTTAGAAAGTAAGTCAGCATGGAGTTTCACCCCTGTAGTTAGAGTAATACTTCTACAATGAGCCTGGAAGCCCTGGTGGTACAGGGGTTGTGCGTCAGGCTGGGAGCTACATGGTCAGCAGTTCAAAACCACCAGCAGCTCCTTGGGGGAAACACTGGGCTTTCTGTTCCCAGCAATAGTTACAGTCTTGGAAACAATCAGGGGGGTTGCTATGAGTCAGCATGGACTCGATGGCAGTGAGTTTGTTTTTTTATAAGATGAGCCTGTGGGGTGGAGGGGAGCTCTGTTGTTTTAACTACAAGGATAACTTTATCTCAAAAGAATTCCTCCCTGCTGAAGCGTGGCACAAGAATTTTATAGGCTGCCATTTCGGTTATACTCTCTGTGCCATCCACTGGTCACCTCACTCGGGACACCGCTGGCCTGGGGATAGATAAGCTGTGGAGCATGTGACCCTGTAAGACATGCAGTCGCTAGCCCCCTATCTTAATTACCGAGTGCTGCAATAACAGAAACTAAGCGGAGGGCTTGACCAACCAGAAACGTATTCTCTCCCCGTTGAGGAGGCTGGAGATCAACGTTTGGAGCGGCACCTCTGGGGCGAGCCGGTGTCTTTTTGTCCATTTTGGAGAAGGCCCTCATCTCTGCAACTTCACCTTCAGATTCCTGGTCCCTGGGAGATCTCCATGGGTCTTGACATTAATCTTACCCCTTCTGTTCCTCTGGCTTGCTGGCTTCACCTCTTTTAGATCTCAGAAGAGATGGACTCGTGATATACCTGAGTTAGTTAATTGTGCCAGCCTGGCCGATAATCACATGTGGGGCTGGTTGAAAGGTGGAGGGATAAATGGGTGGTGAGCCTCGCCTTTCGAGTTCTCGGGTCTCTTGCTTTGTGATGGTCGCACCAGGGTGCAGCTGCCTTAGCAGTTCCCTGCTCCAGCTTGCAAGATTGACTTCCTACAAGACATCCCCAAGGAGAAGCCGCATGGACCTATCCCGATGCAGCCCTGGGTGCTGGAGCAGCCGTGTGGAGACCCCTGCTAGTGCTGAGATGCTTATTCGTTCACTGACTCAGCTTTCCTCCTGCAGTCGGCATCATTGCCTCTGTTTTGTGAGGTGGAGGACTTTGTGGACTGGTGTTGGGTTAATGGGTTAATGTTGGACTTGTGGGCTTGGGCAGCATTGGGGTGGGATGTTTTCATGATGCACATTTTCTTTACATAAAACTCTCTCTTATACATGAGTTGCTGTGGATTTGTTTCTCCAAAGTACCTAGACTAATACAATACCCTACACAGATCCTGCCTCTCAGCAAAGATAATTTAATGGGATTATACTCACAGACTCAGGGTCTAGGAGTCAAAATCCAAATTTGGAGGTGGAGCATGACACAACTCGACTCCTGAGTTAGTTTACTGTGCCAACCTGGCCAATAAACACATGTGGGGTTAATTAAGGGTGGAGGGATAAATGGCTCAGTGAGCCTCGCCTTTCTAGTTCTTGCTTTCTGATGCTCGCACCAGGGTGCAGCTGCCTTAGCAGTTCCCTGCTTCAGCTTGAAAAGCTGACTTCCTGCAAGACATCCCCAAGGAGAAGCTGCATGGACCTACCCCGATGCAGCCCTGGGTGCTGGAGCACCTGTGTGGAGAGCCACCCCTGCCAGCACTGAGACGCTTACACACTCACTGATTCAGCTTTCCTCCTGCAGTCGGCATCATTGGGTGTGTTCTGTGAGATGGAGGAGGACTTTGTGGATTGGTGTTGCACATATGGGTTAAAGAGTTAATATTGGACTTGTGGGCTTGGGCAGCACTGGGTTGGGATTTTTTCTTGATGAGCACTTAACCTTTATATAAAACTCTCTCTTATACATGAGTTTCTGTGGATTTGTTTCTCTAAAGTACCCAGACTAACACAACACCTAACTCCATGTGCGAGAATCGACCGGACAGCGGGCTCTTTCACAACAGTAATACCAACAGCCTATGTCTAGTGGTGAACACAGCAGTATTTAGGCACTCAAGTCACATGATCTCATGTGTTCTTCCTAGCAATCATGAAGAGTAAGAACTGACTTCATGTTACGGTGCTGTGGGGGCTTGGGCGTCACCAGGATGCTTGGAAGCTATGCTCCCAGCACTTCGACATCAGCGCACTCACCTGTGGGGGACGAGCAACAGCAGAGCTTTCAGACTGAGACTAGACAGAAAGGCCTGGAAGTCCACTGCTGAAAATCAGCCAACAAAAACCCTGTGGGTCACAACAGACGATTGTCTGGTGTAGTGCTGGAAGAGGAGGCTGTCCCCAACATCGGAAGGCAGTCAAAATACACACTGCAACAATCATGAAGACGGGGCAGGATAAGGCAATGCTTGGTTCTGTTGGGAATGGGCTGTCATAAGTCAGAGCCAACTGCACGGCAACTCACATGCCCTCAACAAGAAGGCATGGGGAGGCTGAGGCTCAGGATGGAAATACCAAGCATGCCTAAGACTTTGGACCCACTTTCCTCATTCATTTCCTCATTCCTTCAACAGCACAGTATGGACCATCTGCTCTGAGTCAGGTCCCGTGGGTTCTGGGGAACACAAGGCAAATGGCCCTGCCCATAGGAACCTGGAGGGTTGAGGTGGATTATTTATGAGTGTGTTTATTGGGTGAATAGTGCATTAAGAGAGTGGTCTCAGGCTTGTTTTAATAGTCAATATTTAATAGGAATTCCAGAAAATTTCACCGAGCTCATGCAGAACCTATACATGGACAGGTGCTCGAGCAGAACAAGTGAATACTGCATGATTTAAAATAAGGAATGGTGTGCATCAGGGTTGCAGCCTTTCACCATAATCTCCTGCCAACTTGAGCGAGGGGGTGGAGTCTAGCCTGTCAATCAGGTCCCAGCCAATGAGGTCTCTGTATGGGCATGGTCTTCTCCTGAGGATTCTGGGAACCCTGGTCTTCCTCCCTGGAGGCGGGACATGTTGGGAGCCGGCCCTAGCAGACATTCTCAAGGTCCTTCGAACATGACCGGC